TGAATCATGAATAGGAGATGTGAAGGAGAAGTAAAGGCAAGAGTAATTAGCATTACAAGCTCTAGATAGGGAACTAGAAAAAAGAACAGGGCAATTTTCAAATGTTCATATGAGAGTCCATTGGAATTTCTTGACAAGGGCTTCCAAAGGCATCCCTCTATTGGGTTCTTCCTCATTTTTCTGGGCTGGAGGGATAGTGCAGCCGTGAAAGGCTAAGGCTAACAACTAAAACGTTAATTTCTTTAAAAAATTATTACCTTTAATTTATGTATACGAATGTATTGCCTGCATGTATGTAAGTGCTCCCGTGTAGTGCAATGCCCATGGAGATCAGAAGACGGTATTGGATCCCCTGGAACTGGAGCTACTGATGGTTGTTAGCTGCCATATGGGTGCTAGGAATTGAACCTGGGTCCTCTGCAGAACAGCCAGAGCTCTTAACTGTTGAGCCATTTCTCCAGCCCCATGATTTTAATTTCTTTGTTAAGAGTTTTAAAAAAAATAGGGACCAGGGGCTGGAGAGATGGCTCAGCAGTTAAGAACACTGGTTGTTCTTGTGCAGGCATTGCATGACACGGGTTCACTACATGCAGGCAATACACACATACACATAAAATAAAAATATATATAAAAAAAAAATAGGGACTGGAGAGATGGTTCAGTGGTTAAGAGCACTGACTGCTCCTGCAGAGGACCCCAGTTCAATTCCCAGCACCCACACGGCAGCTAACAACCACCTGTAACTCCAGTTCCAGGGAATCCGACGCCCTCTTCTGACCTCCATGGGCATTGCACGACATGGCTACACTTACATACATGTAAGGAATATACTCATACACATAAAATAAAAATAAAATTTTTTTTTTTTTAAAAAGAGTTTTTAGGGGGCTGGAGAGATGGCTCAGCGGTTTAGAGAACTGACCACTCTTGCAGAAGACCTGGGTTCGAATCCCAGCACCCACATGGCAGCTAATAACTGTCCATAACTCCAGTTCCAGGGGATCTGACAGCCTCTTCTCTCCTCTGCCGACACTGCACGACACGGGTGCACTTACCTACATGCAGGCAATACACACATACACACAAAAATAATAAATTTAAAAAAAAAGTTTTCAAAAAATAAAATTCAGGAGAAAAAAAAAGGTCAACCCCATGTGCCCAGATTTGGGATTTGGACCCAGGCCCCTTAGAAATAAACACAAAGTCCTGTCCTGAGTGATACTCTCTCTGTCCTTTGTCTTGAATGTCCCCTGTGAGGACAGAGCTGTCCCTTAGAGGGCTCAAGTGCATATATTTCAAGAGCTCAGGCCAGTGGAGTCCAGTTATCTTCACAGGGCCTCTGGGGTCCTGGGATCTGTTTCAGAGGCACCCCCTGGAAGAGGCAATGAAAGAGGCCCCCCATCGAGGCTCCACAAAGGCTCCTATTGTGGCAGTTTCAGGAGCCTAGGTATTCGCTGAGTAACTGGGGTGGCCAGGGATGAGGCTGAGGGACAGGTCTGGCAAGTTCTGAGTTGTTTATACTTGAGATTACCTCACACATCTCCAGCTTCCCCGCCCCATCTGTTGGGGGCTGGCCCTCAGCCCTCAGCCTCTTTTTCCCCACACGCTGGGGGACCCAGGGGTCAACATGGATTGTCCCCTCGACATCAGCTGAACCTGGAAGACACATCCTGGGAGACCATGGACAGGGACAGCAGCCGGGTGAGTGCACCAAAGCTCCCAGGCCTTTCCCAACTCTGTCAGGACTGGGTATAGGCAGGGCGCTGCCCTGGCCTGTCCTAGGTTTGAGGGAAATAGAACGTGTTTCTTCTGGCTGGAATCTAGCTGGGATCCAGATCTCCCAGCCCCTCTAGAAACAGCCTCTGAGAGAAGAAGCTGGTAGGATATGAGGTCTGGTCTACTAAGCACGACGGGGCTGTGTGACTGAGGCCTGAAGAGGGCTGAGGCCCATGGGCGCCCTGGCCAGGACACATATGCTGCTTGGCGGTCAGGTATGCTGGTTGAGATCCGATTTAATCTACCATAATTTTTGCTGGTTTGAAAATCAAGACCATTTTAACTCATCTTCAAAGGATACCCCTAGCTGGACTCCTAAAACTTCCCAGAAAGATGTGATTTTGTGTACATTTAAAATTTTCAGGGGGTGGGACTTTTGGTCCCCATTTGGGGATTTAATAACCCTTTTGTTTGGGAAGTGCTTCTTCATATCTAACCACAGTGCCCTCTGCTGCATCTTGGACTCCTTTCCTCTTCTGCTTTTGGGATGGTAAACAGCAGCTAGGTTGGCCTGTATGGAATGTATGTATGTACACATGAGGTATCCCCAGTGTGCCTCTTTCTGTCTTTTCTTAACTTCTTAGGTTTTGTTTTTTGCTCCTCTTCACATTCTTTGTGTTGTATTACTATGGTAGAATCTGAGACTTTGGGAAAGATGGACAAGCCCTGGTTTGAGGATAATCAGCCTATCCTGCATTCCAGCCTATAGGTGACTTATGGTCCATCCTGAGCCCCAGTATGTTTCTGCAGGGAGCTGTGTCACTTCTCACACCACTCTTCCAGTCCCCTCCCGACTCCTCATTTTCAGGTTGCCTCCCTGAGCTCTCTGCTCTGGTCCCTTTGGTTCATGTCCTCATGGTGAGCAGCATGAGGACAAGAGCCCAGCATGGTGGCACACACCTTTAATCCCAGAACTCAAGAGGCAGAAGCAGGAGGATCTCTGTGAGATCGAAGCCAGCCTGGTCTATGTAGTGAGTTCCAGGCCAGCTAGGGTTACAGGGAGATCCTGTCTCAACCCCCACTCCCAGAAAAAGAAAGAAAGAAAAGGGGTTCACAGGACAGAATGGTGCTTTTTGTCAGTAGCATAGGCCACTATAGTCATAGCCATGGACTGTTCTTCTTAGAAGCTATTGGTTCCCAGACCCAAAGAGAAGGACTGAGGTATACAAAAGATGACAACCTCAAGTTAGAGATGAACAGAGACTTGCTCCTCCCCAGGGTAGTGTTGCAGAGGTGATGTCCATCTATGGAGTTCATCTTCTAAGAGTTAGGGACCAGCACAGAAGGTGATTGGAGCACACAGCAGGAGACCAGACCTTTTTTCCCTCTGGTGGAAAAAGGTGGAAAAACAGGGGCTCCCTGTTAATGTATGAATTAAGTGTCAACGATCTGGTAGATCCATGATTATTATAGAAGAGAGACTGAACTTCTCTTGAAATGAAAGAACTGAGTCACTTCACTATTTAAAGGGTCTTAAATCTGCTCCCGTTTCAGGTGAAACCCTTGGTTAGAGAGCCAGGGCAGAGCAGAAAGGAGAGAGTCAGCCCCTGATCTTGTCTGCTGCAGATTTCTTAAACAGAAGTGGGCTTGAGAAATTGATGATAAAAAGCTGAGCCTTCTCCTCAAGGTCTTGGTGGCAGAGAGATGCATTGTGGGCTTTGTCCTTCACAGCAAGAAAGAGTGAGGAAGTGATGGCCAGTGGGCTGGAGCTGATGGCGCTCCCAGAGGACTCGTTGGATCTTCAGAAGTCTCTTAGAAAAGGGGTAGAGAAGGCTCTCAGCTGCTCTCTCTCTCGCTCTTTTTGTAAAATTTTATTATTTTTATTTTATGTGTATGTGTGTATTGCCTGCATGTAGGTAAGGGCACCGTGTCATGCAGTGCCCTTGAAGATCAGAAGAGGCTGTTGGATCCCCTGGGCCGGGAGTTACGGACAGTTGTTAGCTACCATGTGGGTGCTGGGATTCAAACCCGGGTCTTCTGCAAGAACAACCAGTGTTCTTAACTGCTGAGCTACCTCTCCAGCCCCTCTCTTTATATTTTTTAATTTAAAATTTTTATTGAGAATTTCATACATGCATGTAATGTGTTTTGATCAAATCCACGCCCACTCCCTCCACTCCAACTCCTCCTATATCTCCCCATCAATTTTTTGTGACAACTTCGTATATGCTTTCTTTTGGGGGGCACTTTTTGCTCCTCTAACATTCCCCTCTGTGGAGGTAACCCTAATAGGGGTTAGATAAAAGCTCCCAGATACTTTTGACATTTTCAGCCACTCTACACACCCGTTATCCCACCTGTGTGGGAGGGAGGATGGGAAGTTCTGGGCCAGCCTGGGCTGCATAACAAGACTCCAACTCAGAAATAACCCAAGGAAGAGCTGCTCACTGTGCTGGCCAGAACTGACCAAGCCCAGATCACTTAAGTTTCCTGTACCTTAGTGTCTTCAGCTGTAGAATGGAATATCTACCACAAGAAGTCTCAGAAGTCTTTCAAATAGTAAGGCAGCCTCTGGGCATCTAACATATGCATAGACAGGTGCAGATAAAATCACACCATACGGATTTATCATCATCATCATCATCATCATCATCACTATCTATAGTCGAAATGGGAACACATATTTTCTCCTCTCTATGCCTCAGTTTCCCTATCTAACAAAGAAGAGGGTTGGACATTCAGCCTGAGATACCTTTCTGTTTCCGCTGCAGTTGTTAGAATGATACGGAATGGGATATATGCACTGTTCTTAGCAAATGCAACCATCGTGTGCTTTTGCCAAGTGGGTCACATTTTTCAATGAATAGGAAAATACAGTGCCTACTACAGAGGACTGAAATTGGCCTACTGATCAAGCAACTGTCCTTTGGAGAACAGATTTTCTTATGCTGGGAATTCCTCCAGTGGAGCTGGCCGTACATCATCAGTCTGAGACACCCATGCTATGGGTGTGAGAGACCCTGGGTGAGCCAGGCTATGCATGTTCCCCAAGAGGCTGGCCAGCTTCCCAACATGGCAGACCAGTAGACTCAGGGCCTCTTGTCATCCCACAGCCCCAAAGTGAGACATCTCCAAGAGCCTGCCTTTGTCCTGTAAGACCACACCCCCCACCTGGGACATCTGCTTCATGCTGTTGATGGCACTAAGCAGTGTGTACCTGGCACACCCCACTGAGCCTTGCTTGTCCTCTGTGACTTAGTGTGAGCGTGTGGGAGTGTGCAGGGTTCTAAGATCAGTGCTAGCCAGGAAGACTGGCTGATGTAACAGTGGCCACTTAGCTTAAGTATCTTGTTTTGGTAACACAATTTCCTCTTGGTCTAGCAACACTGGGGGTGGACTATGCCTGGCCAGGTGGACAGGTGGGAAAACACAGAGCGCCAGCTTGTCCTCTAAGCAGAGGCCTTTAATAGCACTTAGTGGAGACTCGATGTTCAACTAGGGATAGCCCAGCATATCCACTGGGCCCCAGCTTTGCTCTGTGTCACCACCCTAGCATTTGCAGACAGGACAGGCTTAGACACAGAAAACTGAGGCAGGAAATACTATTTACTTGGTGATAGTGAACACTCAATTTTTTTTTCTTTTAATCTTTATGTGTGTATGTGCAATGTGCGTGGGGAGAATCAGAGGACCTTGAGAGTTAGTCCTTGCTTTCCACCTCGTTTGGAACAGGCGGTCTTGTATATTTTGCTGCTGTGTATACTAGGCAAGCTGGCCTATGAGCATCCAGGCATTCTGTCTCTGCCTCCCATTTCCCCATAGGAGCACTGGGATTGCAGTTGTGTGCTACAGATGTTCTGGGAATTTGAACTCAGATTTTCACACCTGGGTAGCAAGTGTTTCTACCCACTGAGCCATCTCCCCAGCCTCATATACCATGGTCTTTAAAGTCTTTGGTAATGAATGATGAATGAATGAATGAAGAAATCATCAAGTGAACGTATGGTATCATTTAAGGACTCTGCCTCCTGGCCTCTTTCGTGTGTCAAGAGGCATTCTAAATTAAAGGAACTGGAAACTCACTGGGAGGTTTTTTAAAGTTCCTGCAGCAGCTATCTCTTTGATCAAATGAAATCACAGGTAGAGGCCACAGCATTTTTTAAAAAATGCAGATTTCTGTTGGCGATGGGGAAAAGGCTCAAGCCCCACCCCAAGCTCCATGTCATCTCCATGGGATTCTTAATTCCCTGTGGAAACCCTTGGAAAACAGCTCTCAGGCCCTTCATTTTAGGCATGAAGGAGCTGAGAACGTGCAAAGCACATGACTGTCCCAAGCTCAGTTGCAGAAGCAGCCCCTTGCTTCCCCTAGGGTCTGTTGCACAGGTTGACTGGGGGTTCCTGAGCTCTGCATGTGTACCTGAGAAGCTGGGTCTGTGTGTGAGGAGGAGGCAGTGGAGAATAACCTGTCGGAAGGGGCTTGTATCTGTGGGGTTCTCTAAAGGAAGAGACTAAGGGACAGCCATGTCCCCAGAGGTACAGTGAAGCTTGGGTTTGTTAGGGAGGAGGGGAAAGAAGCTGAATCTACTCTGGTCCAAGCCAGTCTGCTCCACATGGGGATAGGTTGTATGCTCCCCCATGCCAGCCTTCACTTCCCAGTCTCCCATAGGCAAGAAACTATTTTAGGTCCTGTCAAAGGGAACTTCTGCGCTAAGCATGATGTTGCACCCCTGTTATTCTAGCACTTGGTAAGCAGAGGTGGGAGGATTGTACATTCCAGGCTAGCCTTGGCTACATAGCAAAACTCCCTTTAAAGCAAAACTCTCTTTAAAAACACATTGTAAAACAAAACAACAGAGGGGCTCTTGAGATGGATCAGTGGTTAAGAGCACTGGCTGCCCTTGTAGAGGACCAGAGTTCAATTCCCAGCACTCACATGGCAGCTAACGACTATCGTAACTCCAGTTCCAAGGGACCTGATGCCCTCT